ATATATATGTTCTTGCCCTAGCCAATTTGCTTAGTGGTGAGTGTTGGCTTGAGCTTGAAAGGTCACAGGTTCGATCCTCGGCCCAGGTCAGGGCAAGTTCAGGAGGCAATCAGGAGGCAACCAATCGATGTCTCTCTCTCATATCGATTTTCTCTCTGTCTTTCCCTCTCTCTCCCACTCTCCCTAAAAATCAATGGAAAAATATCCTCCGGTGAGGATTAACCAAAAAAAAAAAAGTGTTTTCTGAATTTAATAAAATTCCATGACTTGTTGCTTTCCCAAAAGATCCTTTAACATTTCCTCTCTCTCCTCCTCTCAGCCAATTACATTACCTGCATTCAGTCAATTACTCATTTTGGAGTATAACTTCCATCACTTCTACTGTTTAACATCTTCTTTGATCTCCAAGGGAGAAAAAAATGCAATCCTTATCTGTTTTGAGAGACAGCAATATTGACCAAAAATTGTACCCTCTGAATCCCAGATTCTCTAACTTCCTCAATTTGTAAGACTAGGTCAGTGGTCGGCAAACTGCGGCTCGCGAGCCACATGCGGCTCTTTGGCCCCTTGAGTGTGGCTCTTCCACAAAATACCACGTGCGGGCGCGCACGTACAGTGCGATTGAAACCTCGTGGCCCATGCACAGAAGTCGGTTTTCAGCCTGGGCGAGTCTATTTTGAAGAAGTACTGTTGATATTTGGCTCTGTTGACTAATGAGTTTGCCGACCACTGGACTAGGTTATAGTTGCAGAGGGGAGGGAGATCTAGGTACCCTCTCCTGGGATGCCTGGGAGCCTGAAAAGATTTTCTAGTTGATAAACCTGTCTGCTAATCTCAAAACAAGTTGGAGTTGAGGGACAAAATAACTTACAAATATTGGCCCCTCACAGTACCACCTAGTGGACAATAAGAAACTAACACATGGGCTCTGAGCCCATGAGGGTAAATGGCCAGTCCTAAAATAACTCACTTCTAGATCCCTAGAATCTTGCTATTTATACATTAGAAGGGAATCATCTGCAATGAGGAAAGAACTTCCAAATAAATCATAATATAGCTTCAGGAGTAAAAAGAAAGCCAGGGGCGAATTTACTTTACCATAGCAAATAAGGGTCTGTTGGGGAAATAGTTAAACTAATATCCTCCCAGCCCACCCACCGCAAACACACAGACCAAAGGGGAGTGTGTGATGCTTCAGCCCCTCAGTATTGATGTTATTGGTGGCTTTCAAATGTATTTTCCTGCAAACCAAGGTAAGAAATATTTCTTCTGAAACAAAAGTATCATGAGACATATTTACCCTTATTAAGCATCAATATCTGCTATTTTCTATACTAGTCACAACTTTCTAAATTCACTTCATTACCCACATTTAGAAAAACACGGCTTATGTGCAAATTTTCGTCCTATATCAGGTGATTAACATTGATTTTTTTAAAAATATATTTATTGATTTCAGAGAGAAAGGGAGAGATAGAAATATCAATGATGAGAGATAATTATTGATCACCTGCCTCCTACACACCCCCTACTGGTGATCAGGGCATGTGCCCTGACCAGGAATTAAACCGTGACCTCCTGGTTCATAGGTTGATGCTCAACCACTGAACCACACTGGCTGGGCAACATTGATTTTATGTAAGGAAACATGGTCCTGAAAAACTGAAAGCAGCCCTAGCCGGTTTGGCTCAGTGGATACAGCGTCAGCCTGTGGACTGAACGGTCCCGGGTTTGATTCAGGTCAAGGGCACATGCCCGGGTTGCAGGCTCCATCCCGAGTAAGGGGCATGCAGGAGGCAGCCAATCAATGATTCTCATCATTGATGTTTCTATCTCTCCCTCTCCCTTCTTCTCTGAAATCAATAAAAAAAAAAGGAAAGAAAAACTGAAAGCAAATTCATACCTGCCTTTCAAACTGCCAAGCCTCACCTGAGGATATTTTTTCCATTGCTTTTTTAAAAATATATTTTTATTGATTTCAGAGAGGAAGGAAGAGGGAGAGATAGAAACATCAATGATGAGAGAGAATCATTGATCAGCTGCCTCCTACATGCTCCACACTGGGGATCGAGCTTGCAACCCAGGCATGTGCCCTGACCGGGAATTGAACCGTGACCTCCTGAGCCACGCTGGTGGGCTCCATTGCTTTTTACAGAGAATGGAGGGAGGAAGGGAAGAAGGGAAGAAGGGAGGGAGTGAGGGGGAGAGAGAGAAAAACATCAATGATCATGTGAGAGAGACATATCAATCAGTTGCCACCCGCAGAAGTCCTGACTGGGGCTGGAACCTGCAACACAGGTATGTGCCTTTGGCAAGGAATTGAACCCCACAACTCTTTGGTGCACAGGCCGGCACTCAAACCACTGAGATCACTGGCCAGAGCCTCCCTGCCTTTCTTTTTTTTAAAATATATATTTTTGTTGATTTCAGAGAGAAAGAGAGCAATAGAAACATCAGTGATGAGAATCATTGATCAGCTGCCTCCTGCACGCCCCCTGCTGGGGGTCGAGCCTGAAACCAGGCATGTGCCCTTGAATGGAATCGAACCCAGGACCCTTCAGTCCGCAGGTCGACGCTTTATTCACTGAGTCAAACTGGCTAGGGCATCCCTGCCTTTCTTGAGATGCAAGTAATGATCTTTTTCAAAATCCAACTCCACCATTAAGCCTCTCCATACCCTAAATCAAAATAAATTCTTTCTTAGCTCTCCCTCAACACATTGTTGATACCTCTACCATAGAACTTAATTAAATCTGTCAAGCACTTAATTTGTGACTTGCACAATTTAATAGCTTTTTCAAATGAAGGGTCTACAATGTATTCATAATTGCATCCCTCCCAACTAGCAAAATGACTGACAGAGCCCAACAAATAACAAAATAAACTTTAATCAAACCACTAAAGACCCAAGAAAGTTAAAGGTTTACTGAAGTGAATCCTTTTGCAAAACAAATAATGGTTTTAAAAGTATAGATCCCTCAGAAACGTCTAAACTTACAAAGCATCAAACTCCTCCATATAAGCCAATTAAACCTTATTTATAAAATCCTTATAATTGTGTAGAGGTCCTACACAAGAGAGCGCAGGCTGTTGGTCTCACACTGAGGTGCCTAGTCGAGTCCTCATTTTTTTGGCAAGGCACAAATTATCCCTCCTCTTCTGTTTCTCCATGTGGCTTGCAGCCTCATTCACTCAGTCAAATATTTGAGAGTTTACTATGCACTGGGATGCAATGATGTTAAACACAAGCTCAGGGCTTGAGGCCCCCCTGATTGATGAGGAAGAGGGGCTAACAAGTAAACAGCGTGACAACGTAATGTAATACACACCATTACAAAGGTTAAGTGCAAGTGATAAGGAAGCAAGTTAAGAGAGGCACCTAAATCAGCATTGGAGGGTAATGGAAGTCTTCCCAGAGAGGATAACATTAAAGATCCAAAGGATAAGAAAGAGTTGACTAGGAAGAGTGGATCAGGAAGAGAATGTAGGCAAAGGAACCAGTAAGAGTAAACGACTGAGGTTGAGAGAGAATATGACTCATTTGATGAACTGAAAATCGTTCAGTAAAGTTGGAGCAGTTTGACCAGAGTTGAGGAATGGCAAGAAACAAGGCCAGACTGAGTGGGACCTTTAGGCTAAGAACTTCGAACTCCTGAAAAAGGTCATTACTGACGTCCCCCTCTGTTGGTTTCTGCACCAGCAGCTGACTACAAAGAAAGATTGATAGGTGAAGGAGTGGAAATCAGAGCTCATGAAAACATTCAGTGGCAGCTCTTTTTTGGCTGTAAATTTCTTTACTTGTATCATTAATTTGCCCCACAATGTTATCTTAGGGTGGCATCTGATAAGATAAAATTTCAGATGAGCTGCCCCAAAGAAGCCGTGAAGCAAGTTGATTATCTTAGAAAGAAACAGTAAGGGAAGATTAAAAATGGCGGCAGAGTAAGTGAATGATGCACAGACACGCTCCCAGGACCAAACTGGAATTACAACTAAAATACAGAAAAACTTCCTGAATAATGACCGGAAGACTCGCTGGAGAGAACCCTGATAATTGAGAAAGAAAGTAATGGTGTTACAAAGGCCCCACTGCTATGCAACACAGTGATGACACATGCAAATTAACATGTCAAATGAAATTTGTTCTGTTTCATTTTATTATAACACTAATTTCTGTTCACTGAAATCTAACCAAACATACAGAAATCAGTGTTGCTCATTTGGTCATATATTCATAACTTAAAAATTATTACTCCAGCCAGGTTCACAGTTCGATTCCAGTCAGGGCACATGCCCAGGTGGTGGGCTTAATCCCCAGTGTGGGGAGTGCAGGAGGCAGCCGATCAATGATTCTCTCTCTCTCTCCCTACCTCTCTGAAATCAATAAAAAATAAAAATGAAAAATTATTACTCTAGCCCTAGCTGGTTTGGCTCAGTGGATAGAGTGTTGGCCAGTAGACTGAAGGATCCCGGGATTGGTTCCAGTCAAGGGCACATACCTTGGTTGCAGACTCGATCCCTGGCCTGTGCAGGAGGCAACTAATCCATGTCTCTCTCTTATATGGATGTTTCTGTCTCTCCCCCTCCTTGCCACTCTCTCTAAAAAACCAATGGGAAGATATCCTTGGGTGGCGATTAATAAAAAAAATTAAAAAATGATTACTCCCTAAACTTGTCTTCCTGTGCCAAACTGGAGGGAATAAAATACCTACTAGAAGTTGAAAAGAAAGAGGCAAAGATAGACAATTTGTCTACTTGTTTATTCTGTTCTTAAAAAAAAAAAAAAAAAAAGAGGTCAGGGATTGAGGGGGAAATAACCCATAAACACTGTGAACAGGAATCAAGACTCCAAGACTTGGGCATACTCCCCCTACCCTCAACCTCAGTTCCCGAGAGTCCCACCCACCCAATTTTCTTTTGAATAAGACACCCAAATCAGCAGCAAAGGAGCCTGGGGGAGTCACTGAGATTTTTGAACACTGGGAATGGGAGAGGTCAGGGATTGAGGGGGAAATAACCCATAAACACTGTGAACAGGAATCAAGACTCCAAGACTTGGGCATACTCCCCCTACCCTCAACCTCAGTTCCCGAGAGTCCCACCCACCCAATTTTCTTTTGAATAAGACACCCAAATCAGCAGCAAAGGAGCCTGGGGGAGTCACTGAGATTTTTGAACACTGGGAATGGGAAGGGGAAACGTCTAAAAAATAGGAGTTTGGAAGAAAAGGGAAGGAATGAGGGAGAGGCTAGGCTCTGGAGGACAGAGGTGGGCCATGAGAGAGGGAAGTGAGCCAGTAAGGGGGGGCGTACCCCTCCTGACTGCTGCTGCCATGTTCCCCAGGACCCCAGAAAGCCCCATGGTTTGTTGTAGTCCATTCCCAATTCCCCAAAGGCCTCACAGGCCGAGCTCCAAGTCCTCGAGCTCCTCCTCCAGCACCCTCCTCCTTGCTAGCTTCTCCAGCTGCTCTTTGCTGGGCTGGCTGACTTCTCCAGCCTGGATCCGTTGCTGCAACTCTTCCACCTGCCGAAGCTTCTTCTTTAGGTTCTTTATCTTCTTGGCCTTCTCAGTGATGGCAGCTGGGTCAGGCTGGTCAGAGGCAGCTGTGGGGGCTGCCCGGGAGCCCTGTGGAGCACTGGGGAGTTGAGCTGTCTCTCCCAGGGACACCTTTTCCAGAGTCCGGCTCAAGGCCTCCGCCTCCCCTTTCTCTTGCTGCTGCCGCCTCTTCTCCTTCCGCTTCATGTTGCGTTTGGCTGTCTTGGAGAGGCCTGGTTCCCCACCTTCAGACCTTGATGGGTTGACAGGAGCAATGGCCTCGAGGCTCAACCCTGGGGGCAGTTCTGGTTTGCTCTTGAAAAACTTCACATACTTGTTCTCATAGCTGCAGGGAGCAGATGTCAACAGTTAGAGAATCACTGACTTTAGAGCCCTTTTCTTAACCTTCCAAATCACTTTACCCTTTTCACAGCTCTGCTTGCTTTCTCCCCCTTGGTCCCTCCCCAACTTTCCTCTGCTTTGCAGGTTTTAGGAGGGCCCCTAGGGCTCAGAGCTCTGGATCTCTGAATGCTATTTGGAGGTTCTGATGAACAGAGGCCATAGGAACATGACTAGTCCCTTGTAACCCTCACTCATCCCTGTATCCCAACCCCTGCCTCTCCTTTCTCAGTTGTCCCCTCCCATTCCTGAGATTTGGGCATCAGAAAATTCTTCCCTGAACTCATGGGCATACATGTTCTTTCTCTCTGTAGGGACCCCATTAAATACCCCCTCCTCACGCCTAACCACGTACACTGGGACCTCCTCCTGGGGCACATAGCCTTCTTTCACCCTCCGCTGCTTGCGCCAGGTCCCGTCAGGTCGCTGTGTTGAGGCAATGTACTTGCCTGAAATGAGAGAATCAAGTTGGAGAGTTACTCTAACTTTCAAATCGTTCCCAAGATGAAAGAACGCATGAATGCACACAGCTTTCCTCAGCACCCATGTGGACACTAAATGGAACCATTAAGGTGTCCCTTTCTCATAACAACCTTCAATCCTGCTCTGGTCATTATTTATTGAGTGTCTATACACTGTAAAACACACCATCCCTCCCTCAGGGCATTTCTAGTTTCATAATCTAGTTGGCAAGGCAAGACAGGCACAGAGGAAGAGTCTTTAAAAGCAAGACAATAGCATGTACACATCAAAAGACAGTAAATGATTAAGAGGCTAAAAAGGAGTAAAAACAAAGAGAAATGACCAGAGAAGATGTTGTAAGAAGGGAAGTTTTATTAAGATGGATTGTAAAAATCAGGTCCACTTTTAGGAATCCATACTATAGATATAAGGAGCATCAATGCACAAGGATATATATAAAGAATGTTTGTTGCACCCTGGCTGGTGTGGCTCAGTTGGTTGAACTGTCATCGAATGCACCAAAAGGTCATGGGTTCGATTCCCAGTCAGGGCACATACCCGGGTTGCAGGTTCCATCCTGGTCAGGGTGCAATCACAGTGTGTATGGGAGGCAATCCATCGATGTTTCTCTCTCACATCAATGTTTCTCTTTCTTTCCCTCTCTCTCTGTAAAAATCAGTTCTGAAAAATATATCCTTGGGCGATGATTAAAAAATAAAGAATGTTTGGTGCTGCATTATTTAACAAAAAGAGGAAAGAAACTTGAATGGCCATTAATATATGGATGATTAAATGGATGTGGGTCATCCCCATGATGGCACACCATGCTGTTATGGAAGTTTTGTTGTTGTTGTTTCCTGTTTTAAAAAAATACATTTTTATTGATTTCAGAGAGGAAGGAAGAGGGAGAGAGAGATAGAAACATCCATAATGAGAGAGAATCATTGATCGGCTGCCTCCTGCAAGCCCCCAACTGGGGATCGAGCCTGCAACCCGGGCATGTGCCCTTGACCGAAATCGAACCTGGGACCTTTCAGTTTGCAGGCTGACGCTCTATTCACTGAGCCAAACCGGCTAGGGCTGGGGTTTTTTCTTAATCCTGACAGGTGGATATGTTTTTATTGATTTTAGAGAGAGGGGAAAGGAGAGGGAGAGAGAAAAACATAGCTTGGTTGAAGGGATCAAACCCGCAACTTGGGTATGTGCCCTGACTGGGAATTGAACCCATGACCTTTCGGTGTAAGGGACAACACTCCAACCAAGCCTCACCGGCCAGGACTGGAAAAGAATTTTATTATTTTTTATTTTTATTTTTTTAAATCTTTCTTTTTA